ATTGACCACTTTTACGGATGTTCCGGATCTTCCGGAGGACCAATCTAAAAAACATATAAAATTCATTCCAAAAACTTATCAACAAGTGCTTTCGCAAAACAACGCGAAGCTCTATAACCAGTTTCATGAATTGAACATTTTGACGGATGTTTCGGATCTTTTAGAGGACCAGTCTTTGCCCTCCAGGGTGTATATTCAGGACACTACGCAAATTCTTTCTTAAAACTCATCAACAAGTGCTTTCGCAAAAAACCGCGCTGCTCTAGGGCCAGCTTCATGAATTGAACACTTTTTCAAATGTTCCGGATCTTCTGCTGGACCAGTCTTGGTCTTCCAAAATGCATATTCGAGCCACAACGCCAAATTATTTTGCATCAACTAGTGCTTTCGCAAAAAAAAAACGCGGAGCTCTAGGACCAGTTTCATGAACTTTTACATACGTTGCGGATCATCCGGAGAACCAGCCCCAAGTAACAATCCAGTAACCATTTAGCATTCACTCTGATTTATGATGGTTTTATAACGGCAATGAACAATCCAATTAGTTTAAATATAGCATTTCAAAGTGTAAAACATTCCTGCTTAGTAATGCAGCTTTTTGCTGTTTTAAAAACCTTTTATAGTCTGGCAAGAAAGTCAAAAACTGTCTTGTTTTAAAAATAAATTTAAAACAGTTGACAATCCCTTCTTAAAACTGTTCTGTAATTCAAGCATAAACGTCGTTAGTAATTGTTTATTAATGTCTTGATAAAATACTTTATAAACGTGTTCTATCATTATAAAAGCAACCATAAAACCATTAGGTTTTGCATTAGAGCAAAAAGCATTTATTGTTGCTTTTTTAGACTTTTGCATCATTCACTCCTTATTTACTCTGTTTACAAATTGAGCTTAAAATAAGGTTCCTCATAGTTAATAAATGCCAAATTTATAACAAGGAAATCTCGAAGGATAGACGAAGTAGGATGAAAAATTCAAGTCGATTTCAGCAAAATTTACTTCTTTAGAAGAACCAGCACACCAACAACGACTGACCATCTGGCGGAGAAGAGAAGTGAGCGTGGCCCTCAAATTCATAAAACATTGTCGAAAGTTTAAAAAAATACCAGCCTTCTCCAGATCTTGCGTCCAGTTAGCAGAGATTAGCTGGTTTCCGATCCATATCAGCGATTTTATTCGGCGAAAGAATCAACGCATCGAAACTTTCATTCAAGCATACATCCCTGCATCGTTGGATGGTGCACTTCTGTAACCATCCGGAAGAAGGGGATCTTTTTCGGGATCGATTGCGCTTCCAGCTGTTCGAAATGCGAAATGTTCTAAAACAGTATCGCAAACTATCTGAGTAACTACTCCTAATCCATCGGGAGAAAACCGCCTGGAAGAATCCTGGATCTCACAGCACAACTATCAAAAGATAAACAAACTTTGACGATTAACTTTTTGCAGGTAACTTTGTCTCCATAAATGCTGCCATAAATCTGAAGGGTTCGGATCAAGCAAAATGGCTTTAGATAAATACAATTCAGCCTGCAAGTTTTCTTAATAAAAGCCATTTTAAACCCTTATTAATTTGTTAAGGAATTTTTGAAAGCAAAACAACTTTTTCACAAATGACCCATGAAAATCAACTTTTATGCCACCTTAGTTTGCTTGTTTTTTACAATCTTCGATTTTCAATCAATATTTCCTTAGATATAACTATATTTTGGTAAATTTAGCAATGAGCAAACATTTGAATGCGAAAATAATAAAAAAATCTCGGCCAAGCTCGATCTGAAGAACGAGGGTGGACTTAATTGTTTCGATGTTTTCACGTACATTTCACATCAAATTTAATATGGCACTTAAAACTAGGCCACTTAATGAGAACTATTGTAATAAATTAGGATATTCAACAAGATTTTTAAACCATCAGTTTCTATTTTAATTATTTTGTTAAGATCGGATTCAACTTTTTGCTGTTTTAAAAACCTTTTATAGTCTGGCAAGAAAGTCAAAAACTGTCTTGTTTTAAAAATAAATTTAAAACAGTTGACAATCCCTTCTTAAAACTGTTCTGTAATTCAAGCATAAACGTCGTTAGTAATTGTTTATTAATGTCTTGATAAAATACTTTATAAACGTGTTCTATCATTATAAAAGCAACCATAAAACCATTAGGTTTTGCATTAGAGCAAAAAGCATTTATTGTTGCTTTTTTAGACTTTTGCATCATTCACTCCTTATTTACTCTGTTTACAAATTGAGCTTAAAATAAGGTTCCTCATAGTTAATAAATGCCAAATTTATGACAAGGAAATCTCGAAGGATAGACGAAGTAGGATGAAAAATTCAAGTCGATTTCAGCAAAATTTACTTCTTTAGAAGAACCAGCACACCATCAACGACTGACCATCTGGCGGAGAAGAGAAGTGAGCGTGGCCCTCAAATTCATAAAACATTGTCGAAAGTTTTAAAAAATACCAGCCTTCTCCAGATCTTGCGTCCAGTTAGCAGAGATTAGCTGGTTTCCGATCCATAGCAGCGATTTTATTCGGCGAAAGAATCAACTCATCGAAAATTTCATTCAAGCATACATCCCTGCATCGTTGTATGGTGCACTTCTGTAACCATCCGGAAGAAGGGGATCTTTTTCGGGATCGATTGCGCTTCCAGCTGTTCGAAATGCGAAATGTTCTAAAACAGTATCGCAAACTATCTGAGTAACTACTCCCAATCCATCGGGAGAAAACCGCCTGGAAGAATCCTGGATCTCACAGCACAACTATCGAAAGATAAACAAACTTTGACGTTTAACTTTTTGCAGGTAACTTTGCCTCCATAAATGCTGCCATAAATCTGAAGGGTTCGGATCAAGCAAAATGGCTTTAGATAAATACAATTCAGCCTGCAAGTTTTCTTAATAAAAGCCATTTTAAACCCTTATTAATTTGTTAAGGAATTTTTGAAAGCAAAACAACTTTTTCACAAATGACCCATGAAAATCAACTTTTATGCCACCGCCATGTTACAATTAGTTTGCTTGTTTTTTACAATCTTCGATTTTCAATCAATATTTCCTTAGATATAACTATATTTTGGTAAATTTAGCAATGAACAAACATTTGAATGCGAAAATAATAAAAAAAAAGTCTCGGCCAAGCTCGATCTGAAGAACGAGGGTGGACTGAATTGTTTCGATGTTTTCACGTACATTTCATATCAAATTTAATATGGCACTTAAAACTAGGCCACTTAATGAGAACTATTGTAATAAATTAGGATATTCAACAAGATTTTTAAACCATCAGTTTCTATTTTAATTATTTTGATAAGATCGGATTCATAAATCCTTTTCTATCTTGATTGATGCTTTCCTAGTGGATTCAGCATGCGGCTAGGGGAAATGGCTCGGAAAGAGTTTTTATTGTTGCTAAATAGCTTTTATTGTAGCTTTCAAATGGTTCTCAATGCGTTCGTCATACAACCTTTTGCAGTAAATCAATCTTGAAGAGCTTCGAGAATACACCCTTCAGAACCTTCTTCAGGGTGGGCCAACTAGACATATTCTAGTCTTAATGAGGTTTTGGTGGATGCATTAATGACAAAATAGCCTTGATCAGGGCTTTATGAATGTTGTTTTATAGTTGCTTTGTAGTATTTCATAAAACTTAAAATGTTACTTGGGGTCTATGACACCAGGGTGCATATTCTGGCCACAGCGTCAAATTAGTTCTTAAAATCAACAAGTGCTTTCGCAAAAAACACGTTGGTCTAGGACCAGTTTCATGAATTAACCACTCTTACGGTTGTTTGAGGATCAGTCTATGACCCCCAGGGGTTCATATTCTGGCCAAAATGCCAAATTAATTCGGAAAACTCATCAACAAGGGCTTTCGCAAAAAAAACCGCGCAATTTCAAAATTTCAAACGATCCTAAATGGCCGAATTTTAGCAAAAATGTGAATCATTGCCTGTAACAAACATTTGAAGGTAGCTCTAAAGAGATTCTAAAATGAGACTATAATTTTTAGACAGCAATGTAAGGGATATTAGGGATTGATGGGGATAATTCCTAGGGAATAGCAAAAATTGTTATGAGTAGATTTCCATGGCGATTGCGTGGAGAGTTAAATTAGAATTCTGAGAGTTATGAGAAAAACTCCAACGGAATTTTGAAGATAATTCCAACAGAGTTTTGAGTAGAGTTCAAAGGTCATATTGAAATTAACTGAAAACATATGCAACCTGGTTTTCTAGCCCATACATTTGAAAGCTGCCTGCCCTCTGGTGGTGAGCGCTGCCAGAAGCAGTACGAAATACCTAATTGTCTGAACAGGTGCTAAGGGGCTGTGTTAATGTTAATTATCTTAAAGATAAATCGTCCAGCTCAAACCTGTGTAGGAAATGGTAAGCGGTAAGACCATCATCAGCAACCCAGGCAACTAGAATGCACGTACATATATTCAAGGTTGTTTCGGTGATATACTAACAATCAAATCATATAGAATGCAAAAATTGCTTATACGTACAAAAGTACAGGCCATATTCGTGCAAATTCTAAATTATTTTTAAACGAGTTGATTTGACATCATATTTGAGTTAATCTGTAATAAAGTATTCAATTTAAAAAGTCTTACGATGTAAAAATGATTAATTGCATTATATGTCGGAAATTTGCATTGTATACGATTTAACTTAAACATAATGCAATGCATGTCATTATTACATGCGATGTCGGCGTTAACTGTAGCTGCATTGAACAAAGATGCGTCAGTTTTCGAAAAGCAATCCCTTATCGAACACACCGCACCCTACATTTTGCTCGTCCAACTATCTCACCTCTATCCGTCACACAACAAAAAAACATAACATCCATAATCTTCACCCATTTCACATTCAAACATATAACTACATTCGATCCAATTTCTCGCATTCGTCCACGCGAAACATCCAATTGCACCGACAAGCTCGTTAACTGATTCGTTTTTCCATCTCTCGGTTTTCTGTTTTTCCAGATTTTATCTCGACCGCCCAACTCTCGCAGCAGCAGCATCGTAGCCAGTGTAGCCAGATAAAGGAGGGAAAAGCATGCATACCGCTCGCTCCACCGTGCTACTGCCGTTGCAATCGTACGATTTATGCTAAATTATCATAAAGACTCAACCAACCGTAACCGCGCGGGGAGATTTATCAGCCCTGTAGTAACAGCACAGCAACAACCGTAGTTTACCATCATGGCGCTGCTGATGTTCCCATTACTAGTGGCGTTACTTACGCACAATTTGGCAAGTTCATTTCCGCAGCAACACTACACCGACTACGTGCTCGGAGGCGAGCTGATAAGCGGAGGAACGGGAGTTGGGTCCAGTGGAACGGGAGCCACCAGTACTGGCACCAGCGCCGGTGAACAGCGATTCACGTGTCCCGAACCGACGACCACCACCAGCGACTGCAGCTGCATGTATGCCAGCTCCGATTACGAGATTCAATGTCCCGTGATTAATCCGGAAATTACGGTGAAAATAAAACCTGGCATCTACGCACAGATACAGTGCTACGAGAAGCAGGAGTTTAGCGAACTGCCGACGTTGAATGTCGGCAACACGACACAGGTAAAAATCATCCACTGTCCGCTGCCGCAACGGCAGTCGATAAGGCAGTTTGTCAGCTTTCTTGGCGTTAGGCACGTCAAAGATTTCTGGTACCAAAACTACGGGAAGGACCTCGGAGTAAGGCTGGTTCGGCAGCACTTTGAAGGTATGCAGGACCTGGAAAAGCTATTCCTAAGTTCCGGCATCGAGGACATCCAGCCGGATCTGTTTGCCGATCTACCGAATCTGAAGTGGCTCATTCTACGCAGTAATCACGTCAAACTGCTCCATAACGTTTTCGATAACCTAACGAACTTGGTTATCCTGGAGCTCGGAGCCAATCAGATCATCGAACTCGAGCCAGGCCTTTTCAAAAATCAACGAAAGCTGCGTCATCTGAATCTTTGGCGCAACCAGCTGCGTAACATAACCAAAGAATCTTTCCGCGGAGCGGAAACTCTCCAGGAACTAGACCTCTCGGTCAACGCGATCGAAACGCTCAATTCCGACGTGTTCACTCTGCTTCCGGATCTCACCGTCCTGAACCTCGGTTTCAATAGATTCACCGAACTACCGGAGAATCTCCTGTCCGAAAATCGAAAGCTGAAAGAGTTCAAATTCATCAACAACCAAGCTCCCCTGCAAACCCTACCGGAGGCATTCCTGGGAAACCTCTCCCAGCTCAAGACGGTCATCCTGAATCGCTGCAGCTTCACCCATCTACCCGCTTCGCTGTTCCGCGGTTCCAGTGACATCACTCACATGGATCTGAGCTACAACCAGCTCGGGTCCCTACCGGAATTGCTTCTGCGAGATCAGCTGCGTCTCCAGGATCTGAATCTCGCCTACAACGAATTGGAAGCCCTTCCGGAACGACTGCTCGAAAACACCCGCGAATTGCTCACCCTGCGGCTGTCCTACAATCGCCTCTACAACCTTTCCGCGTAAGTAAAACCCATGATTTCCACCAACTCCCTTACTGATTCCACTCTTCCTCCCATAGAAGCATCTTCGCCTCCCTGGACAAGCTGACCGAGCTGCACCTGAACGACAACTTCCTGCACGCCATCGATCGCTTCACCTTCAGCAGCACGAAAGCCCTGGAGAAACTGTACATGCAGAACAACCACCTGTCGTTCCACGACTTCAGCTTCGTCCTCCAGGAGCAGGACATCGGCGACACGGACGGTACTCCCTTCCAGTACCTGAACAACCTGCGGATCCTGAACCTGCGCAACAACAGCATCACTACCATCTTCCGCGACTGGAACTACAACACCCTGCAGCTCCGAGAACTGGACCTCAGCTACAACAACATCTCCACTCTGTCCTATCTCAGCCTACAGTTCGTCTCGCAGGACGTCCGCGTCAACCTGACGCACAACCGCATCTCCGAGATCGACCTCAAAGACATGGAACCCATCATCACCTCCCAGCGGCTGCAGCAGGACGACAGCAAGATCTACGTCTACGTCAACGATAACCCGTTGAACTGCAACTGCGTCATATTTTCCTTCGTGCAGTACCTGCTGAACGAACTGGACAAAGTGGTCTACCGGCGGATACAATTCGTAGCGGACGAACTACGTTGTTCGGAACCGCAAGACCTCCTCGACGTCAACGTGTCCAAGCTGCAAACCAAAGACCTGCTCTGCCAGCTGGATCAACCCGGTACGGAGATCAAACGCTGCCCGGCCAATTGCAGCTGCAACGTTCGACCGCTCGATCGCGGAGTTATCGTCAACTGCACGCGGCAAGGGCTGACGGAAATCCCGCCGCTACCGCAACCCACCATGTTTGGATACAACTTCATCGAACTGCACGTGGAGGACAACAACATAACCGAGCTGCCGACGGCGAATTTGACTGGGTACGGTAAGGTTGCGGAGTTATACGCTAGGAATAACGCGATCGCCGAACTGCTACCGGAGAACTTGCCCAGTAGTCTACGGATTCTAGACTTGACACGGAACAAGTTGGCCATGCTGAATCAGTCGGTCGTGGAGGCACTGAACGGCAGCAAGGTTCTGGAGAATATGCAGCTGTCCGGAAACCGGTGGCGCTGCGACTGTAGTTCTGCGCAGTTCTTGAATTTTATCCAGCGCAATCATAAGAGAATTGGAGACATGGGACAGATTACGTGCGAGAGCGGTGAGCCGCTCGAATCGATTACGGTGAGTGACCTATGCAGCGAGAGTATGACCACGATCATAACCGTCAGTGTGATTCTGTCGATCGTGGGACTGCTGATAGGACTGTTCACGGTGCTGTACTTTGCCTACCATATGGAGATCAAGGTGTGGTTGTTTACGCACAACATGTGTCTGTGGTGGGTTTCCGAGGAGGAATTGGACAAGGATAAACTGTACGATGCGTTCATTTCCTACTCGCACAAGGATGAGGAATTTATCACGGAGCACTTGGTGCCGACGCTGGAGAAGGAACCGATGAACTTCAAGACCTGCTGGCACGTGCGCGATTGGATGCCCGGAGAGCTGATTCCGACGCAGGTGAGACCTCCTTTGATCAGTATTGAAGAGTGTTTGAGTGACAATTTTCGTTTTTTCAGATCGCCAAATCGGTGGAAGACTCTCGTCGGACGATCGTAGTGCTGTCAACCAACTTCCTGGAATCGGTTTGGGGCCGTATGGAGTTCCGCACGGCACATCTCAATTCCATGGAAGAGAAGCGTACCCGGGTGATCATCGTCATCTACGGAGACATCGGCAACATCGACAACCTAGATCCGGAGTTGAAGGCTTATCTCAAAATGAACACCTACGTCAAGTGGGGGGACCAATGGTTCTGGGACAAACTGCGTTATGCTATGCCTCATCCGCCGACGGTGAAAGGTCTCAAGGGCAAGGGGCTGATCAAGAACCACCTGAAGAGTTCGGTTGACGATAAACTAGAGTTGATCAAACCGGTTCCGGTCACTCCGCCACCTCTGACGACCCCTCCAGCCGAAATGAACGGACACTTGTCACCTCCGTTTACCATCTCCAACGGGAAGGTCGTCAACGGCAATGGTTATCACGTCAACGGACACCTGGTGAATGGCCACGTCAATGGTCACGTGAATGGGGCATTCGTCATCAACAGCAATGCCAAACAGAGTGACGTATGAGGCATTGCTCGACGGGCAACGACTACCAAAAAAGCCTAGACGAACCAGACTGATTTGACGCTTGAGATTAAGGCAATCCATCAGATTAACCGCGAGTACATCAACCGATAAAATTGTGATAAAGGACAAAATATCAAAGAACCGCAGGCAAACAGAGTAACGAAATAACTTAAAACCAGCAACGATGAAAATGGCACAACTTTGTCTTTTCGAAGCGATCTCTAAAATTAGTGGAAACATATTGAATCTGAACCGAAACCGGGTATCTAACGAAATACTAGGAGCTTCTCAGAAAGAAAAAAAAAGAATCGAACAGATCATAGAACAGCCTTCTGTGTACATATGAAAGACTTATTTATTTCTTAACGGAAACCTCGAATAAGCAGTCTTCAGTTTAAGACGAACCTATGTAGATGTTTTTTTTTTCGATATTCGTCGATAGACGATAGTAATATATATAAAATTTATAAAAGAAGAGTATTTTCCTACTTTACAAATATTAAGTTAAGGAAATCGAAATTTGTTGTTTTTACACGTCGTTTGTGATTTTCTTTTTTCGTGTATCTTTTAACTAGTGTAAACCTCGACGACGAAGGAAAGAGATTTATACTGTCAATTTTTTGCTCGAGATTCTTTTCTCAACTTTTAATTTAGTGTAACATAAGTGTAAAAGCGTATATTTACTTTCCCCTGTACACTACTACGCTAGAACGCTAAAACAACAAAGAATTAGCATGTAAGTAGTTTGCGTTTGAAACAAGTATCTGATCTAATCCAAAAAAAAAAAACAAAGCAGAACAAAAACATAAGAAGATGAGTTAAGTAGCAATATTAGGAAGAAACGAGAGTTTGTTAAAGGAATATCAAGATCTACAACTGAACAGTATGCAAAAGGACTATCGATAGAATAAATCTGTAAATTTTTTAATAACTAAAGTGGGTTGAAATTTTTTTTTTAAATAAATATCACAAGCAGCTTCTTTATGAAGTGAACTTTCTCCTTACATCGATATCTGCACTAACGCAATAGCGATAATACTTTCAGTAATCCCAAACAAATTTCTTTGAATTACTTAAGTTTATTAATATCTGTCCCCTAGAGCATCTCAATAGAATAAACCTCGTGGACAGCAACATCTGTCGGAGTGGAAACGGTTACAATGACGTCGATCATGCAGTTTGGTAATGTACGGAATGACACCGCCAGAGAGCGTATAGTATATGAATTCAATTCCTTTATTAGTTTTTGTATGTCTTGTCCCCCCGTCACCCACTGGTTACCATAGCCGGTCAAGCTCCAGATGAAACTAGAACCGCACTACCGTTCATACTGGCGACAGCGCTCTGATGAGACAACGAAACCTCACCCCCCCAAGTTCCTCCCCTCATCCTATCCTTCGACAATGTACCCCTCTAAGCTAAGGTAAGCCGCGAGTATTCGGTCCAACTTCTACTAGATAATTATCGGCTCCGTAAAGCCAACGCGACTGAGCCTTCCAAATAAAAGAACTATTTAAAAAAAATAACAGCCCGAGTTAGGGAGAACTAAAACTAAACTTTCAGAGAGTGGTCGGTAGCACAAATCTGAGGGTGAACCGTTGAAAAATTTAAACCAAATTTGATGCAGTCATGTGAGCAGTCGATCGGATCGTAGGCATCGTTTATTCGTCCCGAAACCCACTAGCGATAAGTTTCTTTAATTTTTTATACGTTTTATTCTTGAATTGTTGATGCAGTCCAGATGAATGGTAAGAAAAGAGATGCCTGCTCTCGTATTCCCCTTTGTTACCCGGTATGACCTCAATCGCACGTGACTTAAAGTTCGGTTGATGTGATGAGCCAGGCTTTTGTTCACGCGAGTGTGGTGTGTTCCTTAAAAGAAGAGTCACCGCGATAATGATCATACATGCAGTATTTCGTCTTGGAATTTAACTGATTGGAGTCAATGACATTTGTTCTTAAAATAACTTTAGATTCACAAAAATATTCACTGATCAAGAGCTCCAAGGAGTTCCAATATGAAATTTCTTTTACATGTATCCAATCAGCTATGAGCCCTGAAAATTATAGAGAACAATTTTTGTGCGATTAAGGACCATGCACTTATTACGTAGTATTCTGGAAATAAAATTTCTTACGTCTTCTTACAAGGGAGGCAGGGAATCTTAGAAATACCTTACGAAATCACTAAGAATACAGAACATTTTATTGTTCGATGTTGGATCTTATTAAGGGGGAGCTGGGATAGAAAAATCTTACGTGATTAGTACATGGTCCCTTACGCCAAATTTAATGTTTTTTGTGTTATATCTTTCGCATCAAAACAGGGTGGTATCTTCGGCAAAGTTTCAAGTTTGGTTGCATTACGTTCACAAAAAATATAAAACCTATTAATTTTCATGACAAAAAACATAGTTAGGGCTGCAATGATTTTGACCTGGGTACTGAGGTCTGATTTTCTCTGTCCTTTCCTGAACTTCTCGAAACTTCTCTTAAGTATTTGCAGCTCTCATGAAGCTTGTTGTGCTGCCCTGAATATAACTTAACGGTCCCAAGAATGTTTAAGCTTCCGTGAACTTCTGAACTTCTGTGAAGACTTCAATAAATTTCTTAACATGTGTTACCTTTTTGTGGCTTACTAAGGCTTTCCCTTTAGCAGCTAATAGGCTTCCCAAACAAGTTTGTGCGTTGCTGGAAAAAGTGGTTTTGGGAAAACAGGTAACAGTGCGATATAATTGTGTGCTTTGTGCGTGTGCTTATTCCGCTGCCAAACGGCATCACGTGTCTCTATAAGTTTGTGGCAGTCTTGCGCAACCGGCACATCACACCTTGAGTCTCGATCGCTTCTGACCCCACCTGCTTGCTATGGAGTTCCCGGAGGAGGGTTTGCGTTCACCAATATCACGCCCTAGGCAGGTTGGCAAGACATCCGTTCACCATTTCACGCGCCAATCAACGTGAAGACGCAATCTTGTGGAAGTTCATCCGCAACGTCGAAGTTCATCCCCGAGGCCGCAACGGCATTGGCGTAGCTACTGGGGGTGCCAGGCCCCCTCCAGAATTATCTAGGTCCCCCCCCAGAACTTTTGGTGTTTTTTTTTATTCACCGGTATTTTGTCAAGCTTGTCAAGTTCGATGTTACTAAAGCCTGATTCAAAGTAAATTTGGACGCATTCAAGTGATCATAACTCAAGAATTAAACAACATACACGGTTGATGAAAACGTGAAACAAAAGGGTATTTATTCAGCTTTTAAACGATATATAACAAGTTATTACATTTCACCGTTTCGAACGAATTGTCGCACTTTACTTGTGATCGATGCCATCATGATCTGCAAAGTCGCTGGTGGCACTGTACCGGCGAACTTATTCCACTTTAAGGTGATTCCCTGTAGTGTCCTTGTTCGTGTTACACTTCGCAATTTCACATGTAAAAATAATAAGTTTTCTGTGAATGTACGTAGCTGAAACTACTACTTGTTGTTTGCTGCGGAGAAGCAAGGGATGTCTGAAATTTTCAGATGCATACACCTCGTAGATCATGAGATGTGTGCTCTTGAAATTGCGAGGTGTGATGGAAAAACGGACTCTACGAGGAAACACCTCTAACGCATTTGTTGTGCATTTGTCACTTCTTTACCGCATCCTTGAAGTTTTCGCTTGGAAATTGCCCAATATTTTTCGATCGGTCTGAACTCAGGGCAATTCGGAGGATTGATCTCTTTGGCGACGAAATTAACATTGTTTGCAGCATACCATTCTAGTACCTCATTAGAGTAGTGGCAGCTGGCTAGATCCGGCCAAAACATAAGGTTGGTAAATCCGCTATTTCAGACACTCTTTAATGTAAACCTTCGACGTCATTGTGTGAGATGTGATGAAAACCTTGGTTTTAAGGCCACAACTGCAGATTCCTTGCCAAATCATTAGTTTCCGAGCAAACTTATCAGCAAAAACAAATTTATACCTGGAAGGGACATTCCCACGACCAGTTGCCAGGTAAAATTTTCGTCCGGGGATTTGTTTATAATCCATTTTGACATATGTTTCGTCATGCATTAAAATACAGCCATCAAATTTCGTCAAAACGGTGCATTGGATCTGACGTGTTTTGCTTATGCTGCTGCTTTATTTTTCGCGAATTTTACTGAGTGTTTAGTGAAAATTTAGTAAGAGAATTGAAAAACTCCGTCAACTGAAACTTAATCAATAATTTCGTGTGTAAGTGCTCGGTTGTTACAACAAATAGAAACGAACGGATTATTAGACAACCACGAGTGGACAAACCGGTGGGAGATAGGAGAGTGTTGTGCTTGTAGATGGAAGCGAAGAAATTTCATCCCGTTAAATTTATGGATTTTGCGTTGCTCCGGATTTTTTTCTAACATATGTGGATTGTATCAGACTGCCAAGACGTATTTCAAGACTATACATTCCGTGCAAGCTTTACCACAAACCGGATTACCCTGTGAAGCGAACCGTCTACAATTGCGACTTCCCCTCTAACACATCATGCCAGCTTGTTAGGTTCACTTGGCCAGATTTGGTGAGTTCGCTCCATTTTGTCCTTTACAATATTTTCATACTTAATTTCCGAGTACTAGTACCAACAATCAATACGAAACTAACGATTTTAAATTGGCTCACTACTTGACTAGCCTATTGGTCCCAAGCAAACAATTAACGTATCCCATTCTAGTCGACATTCTAGTACTACACTATGTTTGTTTTGATTCGCTACGAGGGTTTGACAGATAAAATGAGGGGTTATTGGTTTTTCCTATGTTTCGAGGGGTGAATCGATTAGCTTGGTACCGAAAAGAGTACCAGAGCTGAGCCAAAAAGTTGAGCACGTTATTTCGGGAGCTTCTAGTCTTAGAGTTACCTCTATGCTAGTACCATAGAGGTAACTCTAAGACCACTGGGTGCCGAAGAAAATCATTATTATTTTTGGGTCACTCAGTACCAGAACAACGGTCCCAAGCAGTCCCAAGCTATTTCACTCACCCCTGCATGTTCTGCATGAATCCACACACCCCTGATGTTATCTGTCAAACTTTCATAGCGAATCAAAACAAACATAGTGTAGTAATAGAATTTCAACTAGAATGGGGTACGTTGATCGTTTGCTTGGGACCAATAGGCTACTAAAGTGGTGAGCCAATTTAAAATCGTTAGTTTCGTATTGATTGTTGCTAGTACTAGTGATACTACAAAACTTTCCAACTCATTAAATATGCGTCAATCAATCAATACCGCTTGGTTGAAAGTCCCAGTACATTATTAATGATTCCTACATTGAAATGTATTGGAGCGGGGCTTAGCATATACGAAAAAAGCTTCGGAATGCTTGCGGTCTGGAAATGGGCTTTAGGAGTTGTGATAGAGCTGTCACCTTCAAACTCCCGGATTTAAGCTTCTTGAAATTATTTATATAAAAGATGGTTCCAGGAGGATTTTATCCATAATGCCACTGCCAGTCAGTGGACAAATTCATGAAAGAAGGATACATATGTGGTAATATAGTAACAGGTTTCCTAATGACTACTGACTACTGATATTAGGCAGAATATAATGTTTCAACAAACACGTGTCGGTCGAATTAGGATTTATCCCAGGCTACTATTGTAGAAAAACGTAATTGATAGATATTGGGCGGACCCCGTCGGAATGTTTAGAAAAATAGGGCGCACGCTTAATCCGGTTTAAGATACATTGTTGACTGCTTTCGGGAACATGATTTCATTTTAATAACTTGTTTACTTGTTTAACCAGGGCTTAAGCAATCGTCACGTTGGTCATAGCTTGTTATGATAGCCTGAACAATGCGTAAAGAGCAAACCGCGAAACATTGAACTTCGAGTGAAAGTGGAACTTAATGAAGGCCTAAGTGC